GGATGGATGGATGGATGGATGGATGGATGGATGGATGGATGGATGGAAATACAGATGAGAACATTTCCTGTTTTGTCGTTGGGAGTAATAACCCGCCTCTTTCTGCGCTGGTTGATTTGTCAGGTGGCACGTCCGTCCAATCACGCGACCATCCAGAGCATCGTCAGAGCGGTGGGGATCGTCCCCGGCGTCCCCGAGCCATGTTGCGTCCCGGACAAGATGAGCCCCCTCAGCGTTCTATTTCTGGACCCAGACAGGAACATCGTGCTGAAAGTTTATCCCGGCATGTCTGTGGATACGTGTGCCTGCCGGTAGGACCGTCCAAGCTGACCGAGGCCACGACGAGGAAAGACAGCAGACAGTGAGGAAGACGTTGACATAGACTCAGAAGGTGCGGGGATGTGGTGAGACTCCTTAAGGACACCTGAGGAAATCTGAATTATTTTTCATGTTTCAATGTTATGTTCCGAATTCTCGAACTTGGTTTGGTATCCGGCGTGGCTGGACAGTACCCCGGGGTTCTCTACATAGATGTCTTTCATTAGTTGGTCTATTTTCATTCATTGTCTCCCCGTCTTCAAAGAATGACTGAGGAAGTGCCCTTAAAGATGCCTGTTTCTTTAATTCTCACTAGCTGGATGGTTAGGGGTTGCGTACAGAGCCCCGGCAGGTGGATCGCATTTCCTCCGACTGTCGAAAAAAAGTTTTTTTTTCCTTCATCCTCCTCTGTTCCCATTTCACATTTGGATCCATTTTTAAAGTAGTTTTTCCCTTTTTTGATTAAAAAAAGGATATGCTCAGGTCTCCGCTCGAAATCACATTCAAATGGACCTCGTTCTGGGTTCGGCTCAGGTCCCTTCCTGAAAACGGTCCGTGCAGGAACTTCCGTTGGCCTGCTCTCCACGCTGCGGATGAGATGGGTTTCGGCAGCTTTTCAGCTTTCCTATTCCCCGACGCTGCTGAGGCAAACTGGCCAGCTGCACTCCAATGGAGGCTTTGAGAAACGTCCATGTAAATATTGTAGTTATTCGAACCATGTTGTAAGTCTGTGATGTGACACTCTTGAGTGACACAGTGCGTATTTTATCATGCATGCAACTAATTTCAGTAGATCTTTGTTTACATCTTGTATATAAAGAATGTATGTATGTTGTCGCTCACTAAGTGTTCGTGCATGTCAAAGCCTTGTGCGGCGTAGAGGCAGCGCGTTGCTGCCACCTGCTGTGTGTTTTGTGAGAGCTGAAGGGGCCTCGGAGGGACATAATGCACCCCATCATCATGTGGTTTATTCATTTCTATCCTTTAATATATAAACATGGCTTGTCAAAGTTACATGTACAGTCAGTGATTGTGTACAGTAGCAAGATCTCTACCATAGATAAAAGGGACTGGTGTGTATTATTGTCGGGCTATAAATATATAACTAAATATTAATAGTAACGTGTGCTTGAACAGATTGTATTTTATGCCAGGTATAAGGAATTGTACATATAGTCAAAGATAGTCTCAGACTAAGGTTCTATGAAAATTGTAACAGTAAAGCTGGTATCTATGTTGAGTGATGTACAACAATAATCATGTTTTTTGTTTTGTTTTTTTTAGTAAATAACAGTTTTTAAACAACCAAGTGTCTCGGGATCATGACATTGTTTCTCCTCTAAGCAAACCCATTCATACTGGCTTAAAAAAACATTTTTGTAAGAGAAACATTGTTTAGGTTAGTTTTTCATATGATCTTTTTTAAGTTTTGCATCAGTATGACATAAACTTTTTTGTGAATTTTTTTTTAAATCAGTTTTTGAAAGCGTTCTTGTTTATTTAGTTCTAAAAAAAATAACTAAGTAACTGTTAATAAAAAATTCCAAATTTATTGACAAAAAAACCCAAAACCTGGTGCTAAATATTGATGTATTGATATTGATATTGATATTCTTGTCTTGACCATTTGACACACATTTAAACACATTTTTAAATGTAGTTTTTCCGTCATAAGCCGCGATCATTCCCATACATTTTGTTGTCTGCTTTCATTACTCAGTAGCTCCATTGAGAAGAGCTTTAAAAGAGCATGAAAGGGCCACATTGTACGCATTTTTTTATGAAACCCAGCGTGAACCAACTAAGTGACAGCATGAGTGAAAGAAAAATTCCAACACTGGCCAACAATTCCAGACACACTGGCTTGTGGTCAGGGCACAAAACCCCCACAAGAATGCTGTGTCGTCTCTTTTTCCCCATCATCTATCTAGGGTTCATTTGATGAAATGACCCCTGCTCTCACATTTGATAGTTTCCCAGAATATTCTTTCATCTGTTGGACTTCAAAACGGGGCACCAGTAGTAATATATCCCAGCAGAATTCCAAACATCATATTAGGTTACTTTTTTTAAACATTTTTATGTGCTTAGATGGTATTTTAGGCCCTATGTGACCTCACATGATGTGAGCTGATGTGTAAAAGAGACAGAAAGCAGCGACGTGTCCTTGTGGGTTGCTGTCCTGCAGGTTTTAGATGTTTCCCTACTTCAAGCAGAGAAGCAGGGAAACATCTCAAACCCAGAGGACCATGGACATCTTTTTGGTTTCTAAAGACAGCCATAACTTGTATATTCAAAATACAGAAAAAGGGTGCAGAGTACTACTGCTACTACTCTACTATTACAGGTAAGATTACAATCTAACTTATATATGAACTCTATTTTCATGTAGAGAATGCACCAAGGCATGACTGTTGGGCCTTAAGTAGAAGGCATTTTGTGGAAATGTCTGCTTGTCAGTGACCTTGCATTTTCCAGCCCTTTCCTCATTATCAGCGTCAAGTGTTTACAGTGTCTTCATTAGCAGCCATCTTTTAAGCGATAACAGAGTTTTTAAAAACTGCATTAAAGCAGTGATAAGCACAAGCAAGCGACTATTTGGGATGACACAATTCCCCGTGTTTACTCTTGGAGCATGGGAGAGGACATCGGGACAGTGTTTCTTGCACTACAGATTTCCATTCTTCAACTTTGCCGTTGCAAAGTCTGTTTTCAACCCGTACAGAAGGTAAAGTTTTGACACTTTCTGTGGTTTGCCAGCCTTATAGCGAGATGAAGACCCCCAGTACCTTCCTGTCACAATTTTGCTTGGGTTTGGCAGTTTGCATCGGGGTCTGCACCTGTAAGCCAGTCAACAACGACATCCAAAGCCTGGAGCCGGAGGAACCCATCTCCACTCTGCCAGAGGACTTTCTGGAGGAAGAGGACACAGAGTCGAGAATAGAGAACCTATTGGGAACCATGAAGGAGAGTTTCCTGAGACAGCTCAACCTGTCCGACGTTCCACAGGAGCACAGCAAGATTTCCCCTCCTCAGTTCATGGTGGAGCTGTACAACAAATATGCCTCCAATACGTCAGCGATTCCTGAGTCGGACGTTATTCGAAGCTTCACTGTGAAAGGTACATGACACTTTTTAACCGGAGTTAAGAGAGGAAGCTAAATAATCTTTGTAGGCTGATGCAATGCATCTTTATCGGGTAATAAAAATAGCAAAAGATGATCCTTCCACTCTAAATGGAATGGGATGGTTTCGTTTAATATCAGTAGTAGTTTCAGAACTCCATTTTATCTACGTATTTTAAATACTTTTGACATTTAAACCACTTTATTGGCACATTTCTTTTGTTGTAGGGAGTTGGAGAGGTTGTGAATGATGTAACATTTTATGGGTAACAAAACATTTTATTCAATGAGCAATGTGGGATTGAGTAGCAGGTGTAAAGACACTTGGACATGTGGAGGTAGGAAATAGGTCCTCAGATAGATTGAACCCTTGAACCTCCTGAACTACAGTCTCCTCTTAATTAACCTCTCTCTAAGTTCTAACCTCAAACAATATAGTCTTTATCTTTCCAAATATAAAAGGTAATCGCATCTATCCTCAAACGCTTACGTACAAATGTGTTGTAACTTTTTCTCTTGTCATCAACAGATATCATTCCAAGTGTGACAAACGGCTCAAAGCCGAAGCACAGGCTGCAGTTCAACCTCAGCATCCCCAGTCACGAAAAGATCAACACCGCCGAACTGCAGCTCCTTTTATTTCCGGATGCCGAGTCCAAGGTCAGTTCTCCGAGTTACAACGCTTCCGTCGAAGTGTATGAGGCCAATGATAATTTCACGTCCCAGGCACAGCTACTGGACGGCAGGGAGGTGGCGGGCCCGCAGACCACATGGGCCACGTTTGATGTGACCGCAGCTATTCGGAGATGGATTAAGTCAGGCCAAGGCACCACTGCTTTTGATGTCGTGGTGGATAGGAATGATTGCGGGGCCCCCGACGGCGGAGCCAGCTGTTTGAATATGAGCATGTCTGTTGGAGATAATGCTTCAGCTGCTCTAATAGTCTTCTCAGATGACTTCGGCAGCAGGGGGAGGGAGGCAAAGAAGGAACTCAGGGAGATGATCTTTCACGAAGAAGAAACCCTATTGCACTCCGGGGCCGACTGGAACAGAAGGGATCGGCTTCCCAACGAGATCCCGGACGCTCGGCACCCGTGGAGAACAAAGCGAAAGGCGGAGAGGGAGCACTGCCGGCGAACGTCACTCAAAGTCAACTTTAAAGACATCGGCTGGGACAGCTGGATCGTGGCGCCTCCGGAATACGACGCCTTTGAATGCCGAGGCCTGTGCTACCACCCGCTCACGGATGAATCCACCCCGTCCAAGCACGCCCTCATCCAGACGCTGATGAACATCAGGGACCCTAAAAAGGCCAGCATGGCGTGCTGCGTCCCCACAAAACTGGACCCCATCACAATCATGTATCACGAAAACGGACGGCTCACTATAAGATACCTTTATGAGGAGATGAAGGTGGCCGAGTGTGGCTGCAGGTAGTTAAACTAGGTGGTATGGGGGGGGGCCAAACACACTTAGAAATGTTATTTTCTTTCATGCAGTTCAGAAAAACCTTCACACACCCCAGTGGTCCAAATGAAAAAAAAATGGTTTGGCTTCAAGAATAAATACAAACATCTGATTTATTTTTTAAATAATGAGCATGTCACAATAATGATATAATGTCATTACACTGTTCTCTGTTCTGTATGTGAATTTTGAGTATCATACACAATAAATTCCTATTTATGTACTATTAAGCATTTGCTCCAAAGTACTACACAGAGAACCTCTGAGCTCCGTTATGTTATTGATTAAATGGTTTCTTTTACAAAAGGTGAACACTGAAACCACGAATCTTAAACTAAATGCTCCTGCCCCTTCAATGATGAAATGTCAAACAGTCATCTTGTGTCCTTCAGTCCAGTACTATGGATCTACAAAGCTGACGCATACTGTCAGCTTTGTATATATATCTAAAGACAGTGATACTGCCTTATCAGAGCTGAGTGAGGGTACGAGTTCCAGCCTAACATTTCCATTTTTTAGCATCTTACGAGGAACCAAAATCACAAAAGGCTCATTTGGCTGTAATAAAACTGATCTCTCTACGGTAACTGTGTGACAAGTATTTCATTTAAAGAAAGAAAATGGTTGCCTCTTTGTTCACCCACATTCTCTGTTATTTTGTCACTTCCCTTTTTCTGCACTGTCGAACACATCTCATGCTCGGACCCGCTTTTGTACTCAAACCGAACTTTCTTCCTTGCCTGCTCCTACTTTTTCTGAACCCATGTTTTTTAAAACTTTTTCTCTGATCTACTTTCAGGCTGCCTTTCACAGCACCACCTTCATCACAATAACAGAAACCCAGGTTCTAACTGCAGGTTCAGCTGCTCTAGCTTTTTTTTTTACTGAAGCATGGAAGCTGTAGTAATATAAGAGGGCACTAATGAACCCAATGTAGACATGAAATAATAAAACAGGTTGAAAAGATGCCACACGATTCTCAAATTTCTAAAAGAACCACAGAGATGCTCCCCACCGTTGAAAACTAACTACTAAATGACTCTAAATTGCTAAAAACACACTGGAATCATGCAAATTCATGTTGCCTCACATTCAGTTTAGCTTTTTTTAAATAGCTGAATAGGAGAAAAGAGGCAATGGGCAAGATTGTGAACTGCAGATGTTGGATAATAATCCTTCTATGGAGGATATCCTCCAGCTGTGATGAATACAAATTGTTTTGAAATTGATAAACTTGTTAATGTGGACAGCCATTTGTTGGAATCTTACTGCTAAAGGACAACTATTGCGCAGCTATTGACTCATCTTGCTCACACAGTAAGTGACTGTACAGCTTTTATTCCACAATCATTTAACTTGTTTTTGTAACCGAGATTTGTCAGCTTCTATGGGATTTAGGAAGTCTGTGTTGCAAAGGCGAATCATTAGCGTCCTGGGAATTGGCACAAAGAAGATTTTCTTATGTAACGTGTGAAGCGGTTATTAAAAGTTAAGTCGCCAAGAGTAGCCAAGGCTCTTATAGCATTTAGATGGAGCTGTTGATTTTGAGCAGGAAAACTGTTTTAAGGGTCTTGAGTTAACTTTGTGCCAGGTCAGATTCAGGCCAATAGCAATGGCACCTCAGCAAACTAGAAAACAGGAAGGAAATAGCCTGATTTGGTTGAGAGGAAAACAAACTTTTCCCTAAGCCTTTTGTTTCAACATCCAGAAGGTGGGTGTGCATCTTTTTTCTTTCCCCTCAAATCTGATTCTGCACGCATTTTAAGAAGGCTTTGCAGCATTTCCACAAACCGTGTAATCATGTCACGCATGGAGTGACCCAGACATGACCCTTAAAGCTACTAGCAGCACCAAAATACACCACCACAAGCCATTATGCACTAACAGACAAGAGGGCCGAGAGCTAAAAGGAAAAGGGAGCGGAGGGAGAGTTTCTGATAAGTCGGCCAGATTTTCCCTCACTTCTAACGTCAAGCCATAATGTGTCATCTTTAAGACACTAAAATGATATATCACAATACACTTGGAACATGATGCAGATTAAAAACCATGTCCTACTTAAAGGCTAAACTAAAAACTAATTTGACATTGAACTATTTTGATAGCGATAAATATTTTTCACTTGCAATACAATGCTTTCAAAGTGTGGCCCCATTTAGAAATTTGTACTCTTTTGACCATTGTCTGCAGGCAGAGTCACTGCAGATAATGCGATTAAAGGTTTACTGTAGGCAAAAGCCTCTTAAGCTGATGTCGCTATCCAAAAAACTATGACAATAATATTGACCCCCAAATAAAAATCCTTCATCTGTCAGCACAGACAAATTAAGTGGAGCAGCCCGGTGAAAGGGAAGACAGAGTGCCTCTCATCCCAGAACTGCCGAAGAGGACTAGTGATGGCGCTACCATGGATGCTTGTCCTGTGCGCCGTGTCGGTCAAATCCTCGTTTCAGCCCGCCCTGGTGCTAGAAACGGCCAAGATTCTCTCGGAAAACTACTGTCTCCCTGAGAATCTGGTTGGGATGCAGGGAGCCATCGAACAAGCCATCAACAGCGAGGAAATCCTGCAGATTTCCGACAGGAAGACCCTGGCGGCTCTGCTCACAGTCGGAGTACAAGGCGCCTTGAACGACCCGCGGCTTACCGTGTCGTACGAACCCAATTTCGTCCGGGTCGTGCCGCCAATGCTCCCGTCACTCCGGAGAGAACAACTGATCCGGCTGGTGAGAAACTCCGTCAAGGTGGATATTCTGGAAAACAATGTTGGGTATTTGCGGATAGATGACATCATTGGGGAAGAGACGGCGGCCAAACTTGGCTCACTGTTGCGGGACAACATTTGGGACAAAATTGCTCACACATCCTCACTTATCTTCGATCTGAGGTACAGCACGGGCGGAGAGCTCTCGGGAGTTCCGTTCATAATCTCCTATTTCTCTGACCCTGAGCCCCTCGTCCACATTGACACAGTATACGACAGGCCTTCGAATACAACCAAGGAGCTATGGACCACTGCATCAATAATGGGCGAACGTTATGGAAAGAAAAAGGACGTTGTTATTCTAACAAGTAGGCGCACTGTTGGAGCTGCTGAGGCCGTGGCATATACACTAAAAAACCTTAAGAGAGCAATTACTGTAGGAGAAAGGTCTGCTGGTGGGTCGGTGAAAGTTCAAAAGATTAAAATTGGCCAGTCCGACTTTTACATAACAGTTCCTGTGGCAAGATCGGTTAATCCGGTCACAGGTCGGAGCTGGGAAGTCAGCGGAGTTTCTCCGACAGTTAATGTCGCTGCTAAAGAAGCTGTCACGAAGGCCAAATTGCTTCTGGTTGTAAGGAGTACCATTCCTAAAGTCATTCAAAGTATCTCAGACAAAATCACGAAGTTGTATGCTTTCACTGAAAGAGTTCCAGCCCTGCTACAACATTTGCAGTCAACAGACTTATACTCCGTTGTATCCGAAGAGGACCTAGCATCCAGAATCAACCAGAACCTCCAGACTGTGTCAGAAGATCCACGACTGCTCATCAGATACACGCAAGACCACGGTGCCATTGCAGAAGAGGATCCTGGGCTTTATAAAGTATCAGAGAGTCTAGAATTATTAAAGGCATATACCGATAAAGAATTCAAAGTGGAAATTCTTCCAGGAAATACAGGCTATCTGCGCTTTGACAAATTAATTGAGACACCTGCAATAGCTGAACTAGAGAAGTTCATGGCTCAGAAGATATGGGAACCCCTCAAAAATACTGATAACTTGATTATCGATCTGCGCAACAATACAGGGGGATCATCTAACTCTCTTGCTCTTATATTGTCTTATCTTCACGACTCCTCCCAGAAGCATCACTTTTTCACTACATATGACCGAACTCAGAACACGACAACAGAGCACAACTCTTTGGCCAAAGTCACGGGCCCAACATATGGCTCTAAGCGGGGTGTTTATGTCTTAACCAGCTACTACACTGCAAGCGTCTGGGAAGAGTTTGCTTACCTGATACAATCCTTGCATTGTGGCACAGTTATTGGGGAGATAACATCTGGTACACTGATGCATTCAAAGACCTTCAAAATAGAAGACACGGATATTTTAATAACTGTCCCTTTCATAAACTTTATCGACAATAATGGGGAATGCTGGTTGGGAGGTGGCGTGGTCCCTGATGCTATTGTCTTAGCTGAGGATGCTATTGATTATGTTCATGAAATTGCGGCGTTCCACAGAGGTCTCCAGTCCCTCATAGAAAGGACTGGAGACTTGTTGGAAAAATACTACGCAATCCATGATGTTGCACAACACGTTAGCAATGTGCTCTTAAGTAAATGGGCTGATGGGCTGTACCGGTCAGTGGTTGACTTTGAATCTTTAGCGTTTCAGTTGACAGAAGACCTCCACGAGAGTTCAGGTGATCACCGCCTGCATGTCTTCCATTGCGATGTGGAACCTGGGTCAGCTCACGACGTCCCTAAGATCCCTACAGCTGAAGAGGCTGGATATATCATCGATGCTCTGTTTAAAACTGAACTGCTGCCAGGGAACATTGGCTATCTGAGGTTTGACATGATGGCAGACATAGAGGTGGTAAAAACCATTGGTTCTCAGCTCATAAAATTAGTGTGGAACAAAATAGTAAACACAGATGCTCTCATAATTGATATGAGGTTCAACACTGGTGGTTATTCAACAGCAATTCCTCTATTATGCTCCTATTTCTTTGACACTGAACCTTTGCAACATCTTTATACTGTTTTCGACCGCACCACAAACAACATGACTAAAGTCATGACTTTGCCTCACATAAGGGGTAAGAGATATGGATCCTCAAAGGACCTCCTCATCCTCACTAGTCACATGACCGGGTCAGCAGCTGAGGTGTTCACTCGCACCATGAAGGACTTGGATAGGGCCACAGTTATTGGGGAGCCGACAATTGGAGGGTCTCTGTCCAGTGGAACCTACCAGATCGGGGATAGTGTCCTGTACGCTTCCATTCCTAACCAGGTAGTTTTAAGTCCCACCACTGGAAAAGTGTGGAGCTTTTTAGGGGTGGAACCTCATGTTGTTGTCCAGGCAAGTGATGCTCTTGAAGTAGCACGGAAGAGGATAGACTCTATGCTGTTGAAAAAGGGCTGATGGGTGCCTCAAATTTCATACAAAGGATAATTTGGATTGGGTTTATTTTTTAAATCTTATCAGATTGTCTATTTCCGGTATGTAATTTCTTTGGAGGCTTTGCAGTAAAACATACATTGATAGGAAAAACAATACCTTGTTGATTATCTTTATAACCCACATTGTTATTCCTAAAATACTAATATAAATTAATTTTCATCTCATGGAATCACCTATTGATTGAGTGAAAGCATTTTAAATATTTATCCTGACCATAATTGAAGCAGGAATGGTGAATTCAATTTTAAATTAAATTAATGTTATTTTGAAATGCATTATATATTCTGTGTATTTGTTCCATGTTCTACCAACCCTGTCTTGTCAAACTCTTTTTAACTGTACTTCTAGTCAGAATGCTTGCAAATTAAGTAATTCCTTAAGATACAGAATGTACCAGCAGAGGGAGCAAGTATCAAACAAACCCAACTGGATCCTTGTGTTTAACTCAGTACTCTGCAGAACCCCCTTAATAAATGAATTCTATGTTTTAGACAGTTAAGAATTCCGTGTCTTTTAATTTTCTGCATTACTAACATCAATAATCCTGCCAAACCTTCGAGATAGTCATACATGGACTGTTTTTTTACTTTTTAAAAAATGTTCATATGTAATCTTCACAATGATATCAATATAATAATATAATTTAAGTCAACCATTCACTAATTTGTACACTGATTTAACAGAAAGGCATGAATATTTTCAAAACACCTGAGATACTAGATACTTGTTGGTTATAAAACTGACCTTTTCTGAAACAGGTAGCTTTAAATACTTGTCCAGACAACTTTGTCTAAATCCAAGACCAGAATCCTTGCCAACACCTTGTTACTACACCTACATTGCTTGGTTGTTATTGTCTCACAGAACCACTCAGGATAATACGATTACAGGTTTACTGTAGAGAAAATCCTCTTATGACTGTGTTAACAGAAAGGTTCATGCCAAAACAGTGTCATTTGTCAAAGAACCACTTGAGGAAGGAGGTTCAGCTGCCTGATTTCCAGTTTACTCGCTTTTGTCAGACAGAACTGACAAACATGGCAAGGATTCTCTTTCTTGTTATTTCTTTGCTTGTTTTGGGGAATGTTTCCTCCTTCTCAACAAGCCTCATTGAAGATCTGGCAAAAATTGTCATGGACAATTACTGCTCCCCCGAGAAGCTCGTGGGGATGAAAGAGGACATCCAGGCTGCCACAACCAACACAGAGGTCCTCACCATCCCAGATGCCGACTCATTGGCCAACGTTTTAACAAGTGGAGTCCAGACTACGGTCAGCGACCCACGCGTGAAGGTCTCTTTTGAGCCAAGCTACGTTCCAGTTGTCCCTCCTCAATTTCCTCAGCTGCCTCCCGAGCAGCTTCTCGCAGTCCTCCAGACCTCCATAAAGCTAGACATCCTGGATGGCAACATCGGCTACATGAGGATCGATCACATCCTCGGGGAGGATGTCGCTGAGAAGGTTGGCCCATTGCTTTTAGACCTAGTCTGGAATAAAATTCTGCCAACCTCAGCACTGATCTTCGACTTGCGCTACACTGGCAGCGGGGAAGTGTCCGGAATCCCCTACATCGTTTCTTACTTTACAGAAGCAGAGCCTCAGATTCACATCGACACCATTTATGACCGCCCCTCAAACACTACGACTAAGCTGTACTCTATGACAACGCTGCTGGGACAGAGGTATGGCGTGACCAAGCCTCTGGTTGTGCTTACAAGCAAAAACACAAAAGGCATTGCTGAAGACGTGGCGTACTGCCTCCAAAATCTGAAGAGAGCCACCGTTGTAGGGGAAAAGACCGCTGGGGGTTCAGTGAAAGTCGAAAAATTCAAATTGGGTGAAACTCCATTCTACGTTACTGTGCCCACTGCAAAGTCCATCAACCCAATTACAGGCTCCACCTGGGAGGTCACGGGCATGACCCCAGATGTGGAAGTCAATGCCGAGGATGCGCTTGCCACCGCCATCAAGATCATCAATCTCCGAGCCGAAGTTCCCGCCATCATTGATGAATCAGCTATCCTGATTGCCAACAACTACGCCTTTGAAAATGTCGGGGCAGATGTTGCTGAAAAGCTGAAAGAGCTCCTGGCAAATGGCGAGTTTAGCATGGTAACCTCCAAGGAGAGTCTGGAGGAAAAGCTTTCTGCTGATCTAAGCACAATTTCAGGAGACAAGACCTTGAAAACCACCAGCAATGTCCCAGCCCTACCACCCGTGGTAAGATACTTGTGTGATCATTACGTTTGACTGGCTGTTTTTGCTGTGCCGGATTCGATACTTTAGAAACATATATTTATGATACATTATCATGTCAACTTGTAAAGTATGATTAAGGTGTTTATGATAAAAATGCAAACTTGCTATTCACTTTTTCTCCACAGGATTATACACCCGAGATGTACATTGAGCTGATCAAAGTTTCCTTCCACGCCGACGTGTTCGAAAACAACATTGGCTACCTTCGCTTTGACATGTTTGGGGACTTTGAAGAGGTCAAACCTATTGCCCAGGTCATTGTTGAGCATGTTTGGAACAAAGTACTCAACACAAATGCCCTGATCATTGACCTTAGGTGGGTATTTCTGCTCAAATTTGAAGTTAGTCTAAATGTAAAAGGTTTAAATTAACAAAGAGTGAGTGAGTTCATAGATAGATCTCAGTCATCAACATTTAAAAACAAACTTCTGAGTCTATCATAAAACATTTCTTCTTAACTGTTTCCAAGATGAGTCAATATGACACGGAACTTTAAAACTTTTTAGAAAGCTATGTCTTTCTGTAATTGCTGTTTTATTTAAATTTTGATTTTCAGGAACAACATTGGTGGTCCTACTACGGCCATCGCAGGCTTCTGCTCATACTTCTTTGATGCCGACAAGCAAATTTTGCTGGACAAGCTCTACGACAGACCATCTGGTACCACCATAGAGCTCCTGACCCTCCCTGAGCTCACTGGTAATGAGAAGAAAAAAAAGACAACTTATTGTATTCAAATAATTTTGCACGGGTATATTTGCTTTTGAATGAATAGAAACAATAATACGGTGTTTAAAAGCTCCGCTTGAATGGTAATGCAGGTGGTTTTAAAGTAAATTAGATACGTTTGCTTTTTTTTTTCCAATGAAAGAAAATTTTGAAGTAATCACTCCAGTCTAACTGACATTTCCATTTAATCTCTCCAAACCTGTTCCTCAGGCACGAGGTATGGCTCCAAGAAAAGCCTCATCCTCCTGACCAGCAAGATCACTGCAGGTGCAGCGGAGGAGTTTGTGTACATCATGAAGAAACTGGGCCGGGCCATGATCATCGGAGACACCACCGCCGGAGCCTCCCACCCGCCAAAGACCTTCGCCGTGGGAGACAGCGGCATCTTCCTCAGCATCCCGACCGTCCACTCGGACACGACAGGTGGGCCGGCCTGGGAGGGAGCTGGCGTCCTACCTCATATTCCAGTCCCGGCCGACGCTGCCCTCGAGACAGCCAAGGGTATCCTCAACAAGCACTTTGCGGGCCAGCAGTAAACCACATCCTGAACAAACCAGGGGGGAGACGCCTTTTTTCACTTTTGCTTTGGCGGCCGGAGGGTCTCACGAATCTGGGCTTGTTCAAGGAGAAAGTGTAATCTGTTATTAATGCCTTCTTAGGGTATGTAGAGCAAAGTTACGGCAATATTGTCGGTAGTCGTTACGCCTGTTCATAGTTACTTTGACTCTGGTTTGTGGGAGTGAATGGCAATGAAAAGTCAACTTGTTTCCTTTTGTCAGCAGAGTATGTCGGACACGAGCTGCAATAGCAGAGCAACTTTAAAAAGACACGGAACGAATTCAGCAAATGTATGAAAATATGCTTTCAAAACGAGATTGCTTTTCGCGTGTAATGCTGGATGTTTGGAATTGAGGCCTTTGAAAAGCCGTCAGTTTGTTAGGTGGGGCACCACCTCAGATGACGTCTTCATTTTGGATGAAACTGCATGTGCAACATGTCATGTGGACCTTCTGGGGTTGTATCAATTACACTGAAATACAATTAAAAAAAGACAACTGAAATACAAAGCTCAGCACGTGTCGGTCTTCCCTTTAATCGAGAGTCATCACACTGAGAACTGTATGTCTTTGAGCTTTTTATGGCAGCAGTTCATAAGGTGGATCCAGTAACATTTTCCATAAAAAAACACCTGTACACCAATTTCTCTCATCGAACAAAACTTTTCAGATAATTAAAAACAGAGCCGACTTGTTTTCATGGAATGTGAACGGAAATTATTGCATAAGTTCATCAACAATCGAGCGAAAAGTCCAAACTTGCTCCAACCATACGAATGCTGTGTAATATTTTGACGAAGAACATCAAGCTGTCTTTCAACGAATTGACACGAAGGACTGCAGGAATGTTTTGAACGTGGTGATCGTGTGATCATGCAAATCGTTTCAATTTTGAATAACAGCCCATTTATTCCCAGACAAACACGCAGGACTACCATTTTTAAGCTAAATCATTTATCTGAACGATCATTAACAGCTATTCATTCAACCTGTAAAAGAAAAATAGAAGTTTCTCCAAAAATCCAAGAGGAAGCTGAAGTTATTTCCCTTTAAAACATTTGTTATTGTGCTTCAAATGTTGGATATGTTATCCAATGTATTTGTTAGGCAAACGAATTAGCTTTAAAGGGACATTCATCAACCAGAGAAGGGGAAATTAGTCATGCGGCTTAGGGAAGTAGAGAGCTTTTGGTTATAAATGAAAGGGATGGAGACGGATAAGCGCATGTGTTAAATACGGCCAACAGGTTAATAGGAGCATTGGTGGTGGGTGTAAATCCGTCCTGACATAATTGACTGCGTGGGGGCGTAGGGCCATGATGTTACATGAAACTATTATGTCTTCTGCTGGTAATGAGGGATAGTGTAACAGATTACTGTTCACTTAGACGAGAATGTCTCAGAGGTCAGGTGGATTAGGCAGCTGGAGCCAGTTTCCCAGCACATATCAATGATTAGCATCTCCTTGGGGAAATTAGTCATGGACGGTGTCTAATTTTAACCCCACACATCTAAGATTGGTGCCTCTAGAATTTTTTTTTTTTAAGTTTAGGCCCATGCTTGAAATCAATGTGGGTCACAAAATTGTTCTTCTAATGGTTCATATGGACTATAACAATGAATGCCTCAACATTAAATCAGTAACAATAATCCACTAGTGCACTTAAAGCTTAATTTCGGAAATCATTGAAATATTGAGATTTAAAATAAACGAAGTCAAGTGAAGTCATTCTTCTAAATAAGGAATTCTTTCAGAAATGTGAGTTTAGAACTTGTGAACAGCATAAAAACAAAGCAGACATATCAGACGACTCTTAAATAAAGCAAACCACCTAAAAATCAGGGTTCCGTCAACATTTTGTAGAAGCAGCATACAGTATATGGAAAATAAACTTACTTTACACGGTAAAAGTCTTTTTTTTAAAGAATTTTTGGAAGGTTTTTGTCTGTTTCAGACTGCAAATATTTAAATGATGTGACTTAGAAGGTGTGCTTGGTCTGACACAACAAATAAAGTTGTGTGATATGATTCAAACTCTTAGACACAGTGTTTCAGAGCAAGATACCTGAAGAGCAGCAATGGGCAATACTGTTTTTTGTTTTCTTTTTTCTGTCAGGGTCACTGCTTCTTCCACTGGAAATAAAGTAAACATCTATACCCTTTTTCCCAATAAATCTGCTTATATTCATGTATATTCTCCCTTTTTCTTTGTCCAACATATAAAGGCATCACAAAATATAACTGGAAAATAGCCTGAACATTTCCAGGCTTTAAAAAAACATCTTAAATACATACCCATGTGAAAAGTTGTAATTTTGCATCGAGATTACAGATAGGTATTACCTCTGCGTTTTTAACTTGGCCATCCTTAAAACCCCTGTGTACAAAACCACAAGCTTCGTGAACCAGTAAACAAACATTTGGAGCTTGGTCTGGTGTGACTCACCGGGGCTTTGCTCCAAAATACCTGCGTTCAGCTTTGGTACAAGCTCATTCCTGTTTTCTCCTTGGACAACACGGCTCTAGTTTCCCTTCTGACCGTTCCTTTGTTGTCTATCTGAAAGTCAACTCTCAGTCACAGTTTGAGGGATGCTGACATTAAGTGAATTTGTGGTCAAGAATATGTAAACTGTTGATGCAGCATGTCAGAAATTCCAACCAGATCCTTTTTTTTTTTGTTATCATCCATTAATACAAAGGTGACACTCTCAAAACACACCTCAAAACATGTTTATGTCTATCTTTTTTACGCTTACTTTTAGAGTTCATACTGCCTTTACTTTAGTAGAAAATAAATGTATTAATTAGCAAGTGATATCCTCTGATCTTAATTTATCTTTGGAGCATTTAGTCATTGCTGTGAAAATCAGTGATAAAAGCATAATCCCAATTATAGTGTATTTCTAGAGAATTTGTGTAATGATAACCAATTTAGGTTTGATTACTATTTAAAAAAACACATTGTTTGCTAAATGTATGTTTGCTTTAACCTGTAAATGCCTCAATGAAGTATTGACCACACTCTCGTTGCTGCCTTTAGTTTATGAAGCTGTAATTACAGAGGGTAGAGCTGTGAACAATTAACTGGTTGCAACATGGGGAAAGGAAACAATTTGTAATGGGGGGGGGGGGAAGTGCCAAAAACCTTAGATAAATAAGGACTTGGGTTTTGGTTTTTGAGGCATCTGTTGGCATGGAGACAATGATCCAGCCTCCACACTGTAATGACCTCCCAGTCCTGTCTGACCTATCCCCCCCTCACACACACACACACACACACACACACACACACACACACACCCTCATCCCAGCTGTCTCTCCTCCTCAGGATGAAATATGAAACCTGGTCCAGCTCAGTCTAACAAGTCTGTCCCCCAGGCTCCCAGATCCTCCAGCCTTTAACACCGCTCTGCAAAAATCCACAACTAACCCAGCTTTGAGACAGTGACCAGAAAAAAAAAAAGAAAAGAGAAAAAAAAGCCTTTTTTAGTTTTTTGACGATCCACTGGTTCATCTATTTCGTCTTTTTTTCCCCTCAAAGAGTCGAAGTTTGGATTTTGTTTTCTTTCTTTTTTTTTTTTTTTATTCAAATGCATTTGGATTCTGAAGCATCCAAAAACTTTTCCATCCCCACTATGACCGAGAAGCGCGTGTTCGTGGTCGTGAACTGAGCTCTGAGCTCCACAAACCAAAGCATCTCCTGCATCCTTTCTTTTGTCTTGACGCATCTCTGCGTCCCCCCCCCTCTTCCAAGTCGACCGATTTTGACCGTGATATCTTTTTTTTCCTTTCTTTTCTTTTTTTTCCTACAAAGGAATAAGCGCTCGGGAGAAACTGTGGCGAGCTGGTTTGGTTGAACATGCGTCTCGCTCTTGTTTTGCTCGGATTATTTTTGCTCTCTTCTCCATCCGCAAGAGCGGAGCCGGAGCTGCAGGATGAGGAAGAGGAGGAGGAGGAGAGCTCCTGTCAGGGCGCTTTTGACCTGTATTTTGTGCTTGATAAGTAAGTGGCAAACGGTTTGACTTAAGATCTGTTGGCATGCCGGATATAAAGCTTTTTTTTTTTTTTGCGCTGAAAAAAAAGTTCGGAAAACAACAACACAAATAAAATGAAAAAAACAGAACATCTCCATTACTGTGAGGTGCTTTCATGCAAACTATTCCATTTGTTTGGGCTTTGTGACGTTTTCTTTTTATATAGAATATAGAGGCACGTGCTCAGAGGGGTGAAATACTCAAATTAAGCCTCCCAAAATTTAACAAACAAAGTTTTACAGGCAGATTAGGTTTTCATAAGACGTTTTTTTTTTTTTTTACTTGAACTGTTCTACTTTATTAAAGTTGAGGACATTGCGACTTATTGGTCCAGAGGAATGTTAAGTTCCTGTCTTAGCTCACTTACCGTAAACCAGGTCGAATGTCGTTCGATTGGTTTATTTATTTAGTTTTAATCAGGGGGGGAATTTGGGGCTAAAGACTGGCTGAGTTGGCTGATTAAGCCTTCTGCGTCTGCGCATGCGCGCGCGGTGACTGATGACGCTGACTGGCCAGGAGGCTGACTTTTCTGGCAGAGCTCGGTTTTGCTGAATAAGCAAAAAAAGAAAGAAAAAAAAGCTGTAGATGCAGCTAGAATGGTGCACGTCTGTCCAAGTTTTCAAACCCCTTAAGACATAAAAAAAGAGAAAGGACGGAGGCAAAAGCCATTCCTGTGTTCCCAACCAGGCCGAGGGTACCATTTAGTCCCTCCACAGTCTCTGCTCACCGTCCACTCTTTCATTTCCACTCTGTACGCCCACGTAGGAAAAATGTTGTGGTCGTGTGACATCTTTGCCCTGGACCTCTGCAGCTGGAAGCTGCCAGTTGGAGAAAAAACAGGAGAAACTTCTGGAAACTCCTGTAATTCGACTCTGACTCTCTCTCTTGATCTCTCAAAAATGTTGTACTTCATAAATCATGAAAATCACAATGAATGATGATGAACTGTAATCTTTACCTCTTCAACGGATTCTCAAAACTAAAATGGCAAACAAGAATTTGCATGTGAGTTTTTACATGGATGAAGAAATAGCCACATCTTTAAATTTCAATAACCACTAATATAAAGTCAAAGAATTTAGATAAATATGGAAATGTAAAATAACTTTTTTTCTTAATTTCACATTGTTTGCCTCTATGACTCAACAGAAGATGGTTGCTCCCATTTCCAAAAAACAAAGCACCTGATTCTTTGTGTAGCAGAATCATTTGTTTTGCCAAAAGTGGAGCCTAATGAGGTACTTTTCAACAGTCAGTAACTTAAGTTGTGTTCACACCAAAGTTGCATTCTTATGTGGAATTCTTTTTAAAAGAGGTGCTCATCCTAAAACCTGCCAGGTCCATTCATATTGCCAGAAATAGCTGGTTTACCCCCTTAGGACTGAACTTATTAGTCCAGTTTCTACCACTTCTACCTATTGGACAGGCTTGTGATTACAGCGGCTCTCTGGGAAATAGAACAGGTTAGACTTCATGTATC